GTTTGTAAACCTCCAAACTTTATTCCAAAAGACTCTTCTATCTGCCTGCTTCCACTGGCAATGATGACAAAAGGCCAGTCCTACGGCTGCTTTCTTGTGCTTGGTAGTATTGTGATTATACCTTTTGGGCTGGTGTAATAGTGTACTGTATGTAGAAGTTTTGCATAAAGGTGATTTTGTTTATCTTTTAAGTAGGATTACTCATTACTCCCAACAGTTATCTCTCTAGAACTTCCATTTGCCCTGCTTCTATCTATCCTCTATTTGTTTCCACATTCTCTTATTGGTTTCAAAATCTCTGAACTTTATTCTAAATAACTAGACCTATCTATCTGTATATATTGACAATGATGACAAAATTCTGGTTACATGGAAATGGATGCTGTCACTTCCTTGGTAGTAGTGTGATGATATGCTTTAGGAGGTACACCTTCTGACCTAGTGGTGACGTAGTATGCGGAAATTTTGCATAGTGATTTTTTCTTTAAGTGAGATTACTCCACAGACTGACCAATGTGTGTATTAAACATGTATAGCTTACTACATTCTGCAAGAGAATCAAGAATGGTAGGTGTGTGTGTGTGCAGCATACTAACATCATTTCATATGTTTTTTTCTTGGTTTCAGGTTACTTCCCTGTCCTGGAAAGAAAATGAGCTGAACATGGTTGACACTCCTGGACATGCAGACTTTGGTGGTGAGGTATGCACCTGTTTTCCATAGGAAAATCCCATTTGCTGCAAGTTTTCTTGCTTGTTTAGGATAATTAACTTAGAGTATAACCTTCTTTACACGTACTATCGGAATTATGTGGATTGACATTAAGTAAAGAATTTTTACCATTATTTTTTTTTGTAATAGGTAGAGCGTGTAGTTGGCATGGTTGAGGGAGCGATTCTTGTTGTTGATGCGGGTGAAGGACCACTTGCACAGACAAAATTTGTTCTTGCCAAGGCGCTGAAATATGGTTTACGCCCAATTCTTCTTCTAAACAAAGTAGACAAGCCTGCAGGTATTTCATACAATAATTCTTTCTACCTTTAGCTAAACATGGTAAAGGGCCTAACAAATAGTCTTCTTGTTAAAATGGACAGACAACCATAGAGATTTGCTCATGGAGCACCAATTGTGCCAACAAATTGAGGGATTTGATTTCCATGACTTATCTGATTTATCCAGTTTCCATTTTGGATTTAAGTACTGCATTCAGACTAAAATTCTGACATTCTGTTGATGCAACCATAATAATTTAATATCAGCTACACGTACATAAAAACTACCCAGTAGAATCACACGAAAGTATGGTATGGGGAGGGTGTGTGCACACAGACCTTACCCCTAATTGAAAGTAGAGAGGCTGTTTCCATGAGACCCCAACTCCAGCAATACAAACACCATAGTTATTAATGGCACTCGCCATTTAAGCTTATGGCGCCTATGGCACAGAGGCGGGCAGATGTCACCATGAATTGCTCTGGCTTGGCGTTTTACGGGAAGTGCGCCTTTGGCGGGCGCCATTTGCGCTTCGATCTGTGGCGAGAAGCGTACGCCAACTGCCCTTTGCGTTTGGTCAACTTTTTATTTAATAAATTGGGCTGACTTTGACCTAATAACATTTAAAATTTAAACTTATCGCATCTGTTCGCTTCTCCAACGCGATTCTTCTCCATCGCAAGCCGTCATCTCCAGTGCGGCCCTCTTCTCTTGTCCCACATAGTCGCAACTCACACAGGCGCAGACCTCTTCTCCGTTCACTTCACTCACAGGTGCGAGCCTGTGAGCCTGCGCACAAATCAGTGAGTTTATGTGTACTATTTTTTTGTACTTATTTATTTTTATTATGTTTTCTCTAATCCAAATTAATGATTATTAGTATTGATTCAATTTATTGATTAATATTATCATGTTTTACAATTTTTAGAATGATTGTATGATTTGGTTCAATTTAATGACTAATAGCTTGGAAGATTGGCTTGTTTTTTTTGTACCAGCAACAGACACTGAATAATTATCAAAGGAAAACAATTATATATATGTGTGTGTGTGTGTATTTATGTTTATAAATTTATTTTTATTTATTTATATTTATATTTATACATGTTCGCCATTTGACCGCCCGCCTCTCGCCCTCGCCACTCGCCATTAATAACTATGACAAACACACAGCATGAAAATCTGCTAACAATAAATAAATTTACAAAAATAACTTGTGCTGAGGTAAGTTAATCTTTGCAATGTCTAAATTTGGATTTAGAGTACCACTTTCAGGCTTAAAATCTGCTAATACAACCATAATAATTTAATTCCAGCTACTTGTACATAACAATACATATTTGTTCACTTACTTTTTCAAGTAAAACTGACCTCAAGGTCCGACCAATGGTAAGTTTTCAGATAACTTGATCATTATTAGTATCCCGAGTTTTTTAAATTTCTTCGACTTGTGCCCTATGCATCTGACTTTAATGGTTTTAATTGTTTTCCTGTAGTTACTGAAGAG